ATTTATGTATGTATATGCATATAATTAAAATAAATTATAAAAATTAAAAGTGTAAGATATGAATGAAAAAATCTAAACCGTCTAGGAAAAAAAAACAAAAAATACAGAGGTATAATCATAGTTTATTCCAAGGTTTATTCAGTACTCCACGATAATAAAGACGCCTCGTAAAACAAAATCATCTACAGCTGAATTGTTGAAAAATCCGCCATTGTTTTGAGTACATAAATGCATCTTTTTAAAATTGAATTTCTAGCTATTCTCACAGAACGACTTAATTAAATTTCTTCTGTACGGCCTCTTCGAGTGCGTCTCTTAATTCATAAGTTCTTTTGTAAACCTTGTTGTTAACCATACTGCATAAAAAATCTAAAATGGATAGGTCAGGTGATCGAGGAGGCCCATGCAATCGGTCCACCTCTTTCTATCCCCGAGTCTACATAATTATGATAATATAAATAATTTTTAACATTTCTTTCATTGTGGGGGGGGGGGGTCATGTTGCAACCACTCTATTAATGCGCGAGTATCTAAATTTAACATATCTTGAAAACCGTTCTCTATAAAACGTAAGTAACGTTCACCGGTCAACGTATCCTCGAAACTGTATGGACAAGAAAAGTTGAACCAATAATCCTTTCCTTCATTTGAAAAATTCATATTTACAATTTTTGTTTATTTTAATTTACAAAGTTTGGATGTGACAGTTTCACATTTCTGAGAGCAACGACGATTGAACTTGTTTCCATGGCTAACTAAGTGAAGTTAGTAAAGAAAGATAAAAATTGGCTATAACTAAGTAATTTTGTGAAAAAAAATATTATCACAGATAACACAAAATATTATCACAGATAACACATAAATTATGTGTTATCTGTGATATTATAGCTAATGTCGGTGAATTTAAAAAACGTATGTTTGTGTCATATGTTTTTTGACATATTATGACACAATGACTTATGAGCTTTAGAAAAAATCGGAGAACACAAACTCATTAGGGATGTGATTATCTACAACTTTTATCTGAAAACGTTTTGTTTAAGATAGATTATAATGGAATTAGGGGCAATTTTTAAAAATAGCCAAAATTTGTCTTTTTCGAAATATCTAGTAAGCCATGAACTTTTTCTGAAAAATCTGAAAGGCGCATATTTATGACCCCACAAAAATCCATTCTTTCTAATTACATTTTTGTGAGGTCGTGTTTGTAATAAAGTAATAGAGAACATCGTAGGAGAAACTCACCCCGTATGTATATTTTTATGAATATGGTAACCAAATAAAAGCAATTAAAGATCAAAATATATTTTTATGTAAACAGCCACTGGGTAAAAGTCCACGCAGCCAAATTTCCCAGTTTTTTTGCAAATTTACATAAATTTGACTGCTCAATAAATTTAACAGGCTGTGTTAATTCCTAATATAATTTATTAATTGAACTTCTTCTTTTTTGCATATGTGTATATACATTTACGTATTTTCCTTATTCACAAAAACATTAAATTTTTCCATATTTATATTTAAATAATACTAAATTCGCTTAGATCTACTATTTATTTTAATAACCAATATCTACAGTCTAATCAAAAAGATTTATAATTAAGTGAACTTTGGCCTAAAACAATTTTAATAGATATAATTTCTAATTTCCCATAAGAACTGATTATGGTGTTACCAACGATGTATCACAACTATACATACAGAAATTATTTGGAGAAAATCGAAATAAAAATTAAACTTCTACACTCTGTCACAGACCCTGTGTCCCCAAAACGAAGCTATTTCTATCTGCAGAATATGCTGCCAAAGATTCCCGAATACAATTCGGACCACCCTGTATATTGTTTCGCTGAATAAACTATACATAATTATTATTCAAAATATATATTTGGTTTGCAAAATTATAATTATGCCACATAACTTTAAATATAATAAATATAAAAAATAGATTTCTTTTGAATAACACACCATCTTCGCATATAAACAAGTCTGGTTTATGTGAAGGTAATCTTGGTGATAAGTAAGAGTCAACTGAGACAAAGAGTTTATAATATAAACCGTCAAACTTAAAACTAGAATCGCCGAATGTTTTCTTAAAAAATGACTTTTAGTTAGTTATTTACTATTCTATCAAGGTTATATTCTGCTGCAAATTGATTAATTTATCATACGTTTTATATTTAGAATTTTATTTAATTGTTTAATGTCACGGAAAATATTTTTGTTTATTTTACTACTACTATGAAATACACCCTCTACACTATGCGGAAAACTGTCCGAAGCAGGTCAAGGTCGTGTTTCCTCGCCTAACTTTGTCTTGTCTCGGCTTATCTCCGGTTGTCTCGACCTATTGGCATTTCTTAAAAAAACGCCTCGAAACTACTCGTGAAATTGGGGAGAAGGGTGTGGGGTGATTTTTTTTGGCGACTTTCGGTTGTCTCCTGTTGTCTCGTTCACTTTCGTTTTGTCACGAGCTACTTCCACGGCGCCGGCATTTCGGTTTCTATGCCCGAGACTTTTTTTCATAAATCTTAGTGAAATAAATAAACCTAGACGTTTCTAAAATAGCTGTTGTTACGATGATATTTCGTTAATTACATCTCGTTTATTATATCGCGATTTAATTTTATTATAATGAATTAGTAGGTATATACATATATGTTACAGTAAAGCTGGAAATCAGTGATTGTTAACAATTCCTAGTAAAAGCTCACATTCACTGATATGCTAAGACTACGCCAGTAAAAGTTCAACAGCTATTTTTGAAACCAACTTTTACTAGTGAATGCTAGCATTCCCTGGACGATAGCAGTGAGTTTGACAGATTCAGTTAGCGCGGTTGCCACATGCTGTAAAATATAAGGATAAATAAAGATAAGCTGAATAATAGGTAATATAAGGATAACATTAAATTGGGCTAAACGTTGGCAGACATCTGGCGTAAATTCGCTTTGTTTTTTTGTGGTTATGTATACCTAATTGTTTTGTTATCGTTGTAAAAAGTGCTGTGCGGTATTTTCTCTATGGAAGAAATTTTCTCGCAAGAATGTAATAGTGTTTGTTTTTCATTTTTGCAATATAATGAAATCATAACAAAAGTTAAGAATGTAAGACAAAAAGATATTAAGGAACCTAGTGACTATGAACTTATTAAACGTTTTGATATGCTGGAAGTAGCGGGTTTGAAAAGACGAATAACTCCAGTTGAAGAAAATTCGGGCATACTTTATTGAAGAACTTTATTAAAAATACCTTGTACCAATAAGTAATCTTATGTTTAAGAATGTTTTTTTAATTGTTTTCTACACTTTAAAAAGTTTACTATGTTTTCAATTATTCAATAATAAATAAGTAAAAAGTAAAAATAAATATGTAAAAATTAAAAAAAAACGATCAAAAAAAGTCGCCTTGACTAGGATTCGAACATGCCTTACTACGGCTCCAACGTCATAGCAGCGTAAAGTCCTAACGCTTTAACCACGCCGCCACGAGGACTTTCTATGTAAAATTCTTAGTTAAAAGATAATGTTTAGTAAAAGTACTTTTTTATTTATAAACATTTATTTAATTCTGTTTTTAGTATTTGTTCTTATAGCGGCAACATAGATACATTATATCTGTAAAAATTTCAACTGTCTAGCTATAACGGTTCATAAGATAGACCTTTGTGACAGACGGACGGACGGACAGCGAAGTCTTAGTAATAGAGTTCCCGTTTTTACCCTTTGGGTACAGAACCCTAAAAATCAAGAAAAAAATAATACATGAAAATGAACTGTTAACATAACGATTATTTCAAGAAAATGAAAGTACTTTATTGGTGTTCCGAATGATATAATAATTAAGTAAGTATTACATTAAAGAAAGTTTATTACATTCTGAACTAATGCTAAGTAGGTAATATTCAAAGCTTAGGCAGTCGCTAAAAAATCTTGAAAGAATGTTTGCATTTTATTTAGTTCCTCTTTTAACTGCTACAGTTTTTTTTGTTTTAAGAGGTAGAATATAGAGTTTTTATTACGTATACAGTATACATATTATAGGTATGCAATATTAAAATTATCATATGCTGTCAAATGTCATAGTGGTGTAACCGAGGGTGTAACTATACAGGGTGAGTCTTAAACAAGTGCAAATATTTTAGGGGTAGTATATTTCGACCCCAGAAACACAACTATAAGGTTTTTTCGTAAATTATTTTTGGAAAATTTGGAATTTTTTGAAAATATTTTTGAGATTTTTTTAATTTTTATTTAAAAAATATCATATCTTCATACTATGGCAACATAGATATATTAAATTTACAAGAAACAAAATCCAGAAATGATCCTGTTCTCCAAATTTAAGCTAAAAATGATCTTTTTTGTAAGTTTAAAAGTAAAATACCCCATTTTACTTCGACATACCATTTTGGACTTACTTGAAAAACGGTAAAGAGAAAATATGTTTCTTTTATCGAGATCTACCTAATATTTGCACTTATTTAAGACTCACCCTGTAAAATTTTTTGAAGAATGCATTTTTCTCAAAATGTCAATAATAAAAAAGTTTTAATTGTTTTTATTTTTTGTTATTGTTATGAAAATAAATTCTGAGTTGACTGAAAAACAAATTAAGAATATAGGCGCAGTCAACTCTGAGATTATAAGCCTAGACTTTGCCTAGACAGACGCTTTGCTAAAATATTAGCAACATCAAATCAGCAAATAATTAAAATAAGTTTTCGATAAATTAGTATAATTTCATGATAATTTCGGTAGTGGAAACTGCCCTACCGAGTACAACACCCTACCAAGTACGTAATACCATAATTTCTGTTGTAATACCAAAGGTTAAACTTAAATTATAATCATTCTCTGCATACCTATTCTTTGTTCTGATTTGAATAATAGTGAATATATTATTCATATGAAAACAAATACATCGAAAAATATTTAAACTGTAAAGCTACAAATGTCGAAGAAAACAACAAAATTAAAATACAAAACACTGAAACTTACCTCTGCATCTTTTAATTGAATATTTCACGCAACAGTTATACAGATAAATTTACGCACAAAAACTAATATGTCTATAACTCCCACACTCGCGAATGACTAACTTAATCTGTTGTAAACGGATGACGGAACAAAAACAAAAGAACCCGCGACAGTTCGTTTCGCGATGATGATAATAACAACTTAGCAACGATTGGCTGAATATAATTATTTATCAAGGCGGCTATGTCGATAAAATTTTCCAAAACTTTAGACTGGAACGCGACAGACGTTTTCGTTTATCGATTGACGTTTCAGTCCTCGAAATTACAGGAACAACCGCATTGGATACGTTCTATCAATCGACTGAGTCGCATTGGCTCGCGACTCGAGAATAGAAGTAGTAGGCTGCGAAATTACGCTACCAGATTTGCCTCCGTAATGTTTTTTGCCTTCTCTTGTTCACACCAGTTGCACGGGCCAGCTGATGAACCATAATGGAAAGGTGCATTGGAATATGAATAGTGCACACATAGTGCAAACACTGTAGTATCAAGGGTATACAGGGTGTCCCTGGTTGAGATTTGCAAGTGGCTCATCCCTATCACTTCAAAAGATGTTCATCTCTATAACTTTTATATTTTTTTTTAGATGAAAAAACGAGATTTGGTATGTTAGTAAGTATATTACATAAATTAGGACTGATTGACGTATTTTAATTATTTTTGGCCACTTCCTGTTTCACCGGAAATGACTCACCGGTCACCGGACAACTTTTGATTTTTAAATGGCACCCTCGGTATTTTTTTACTTCATTCGATAGAAAACGGCATTCTGAATAGAATGACATATGATATGTCAACTTTTGACATTCTCGCTTTATAAAAAATATTTTTTTAAATTTCAATCTAGAGTGCCATGACTATGTTAAAAACACTAATTCTTAATCAAGAAATCTTGGAAAAATAGATTTGTCCTGGCTAGTTAGAAAATGCTTAAATCTTATTTTTAGCCATATCTCGTTTTATTTAATGGAACGGGGGTAGCTCATTAGCATATTGGGAAAAAGCATTTTTTACGAATAATTTGATACCACACACTTGGTCTTTCGAGTCAAATTTTCGTTACAAACCGCAAGTTATAATTTGAAATAAACCATGTGCGAAAATGTCAAAAGTTGACATGTGATATGTCAATCTATTCAGAGTCTTATTTTCTATCGAATAAAGTAAAAAAATACCGAAGGTGCCATTTAAAAATCAAAAGACAATTCCGGTGAAACAGGAAGTGAACGAAAACAATTGAATATTATGTCAATCAATCCTAATTTATTTCAATGTCATATAATAAAATACAAAATCTCGTTTTTTTAACTGAAAAAATAAAAAAGTTATAGGGATGAGCCACTTTTGAGACGCACCCGGTATAACCATCTCGGTTTGATCAGTTTTCACATTGTTGCTGCGAAAACAAATCTAAATAATCAAAAAAAAATTAATCATATTTAATTTTTGGTTTGTTTTGACGCCTAGTGATAACAACTAATAAATATGCGAATGGCTTACATTTATTTCTAACCGAATATATGAGAAAAATCAGAATAGCAAACTCTTTCAATCATCGTTGATCGCTCTGTACAATACGGAATTTGAAAAAATTCTAATGCAATTTTCCGCAAGAATCATAATATAGCGCGATGAAAAAATAAAAAAGTTATGTGGTGATCCATGAAATCACACGTGTCGAAAGTGTGATCCACTCTATGGATCCACTTTTGAGACGCACCCCGCACCCGATATAGGAGAAATAGCGAGACAAAATAAAAAAAGACAAAATCAGAGCTCAATCAGGTCAGAAAGTTGCCTGTATCCGATGGACACAATCAAAGCTCAATAAGATAAGAAAGATGCTTATCTGATTCAGAGCTGCAAGCTCACAGAAAACTTAAGTCTTTTTCACAATTATTTGTTATTTAAAATGTTTATCCCGAAATAGAAAAAGATTTAAGTCTTTTTAGAAAAGACTTAAATCATTATAAATATTTAAGTCTTTTTATAAAAGACTTTTTATAAAATGTTTATAAAAGACTTAATTCATTAAAAATATTTAAGTCTTTTTATAAAAGGCTTAAGTCACATTTTTATATATTTTTATGATACGTTTTTAACAGCAGCATTTCTTTTTAAACTGTTAGGCGGTAGCCAAGCAGCAGAATAAAAAAAATTGTGTTTGTAGTTCTTCTAAGAATTAAGCGTTTTATTTTATGCGATTTTAGTCTCATTTGTATTTACAATAAATTAAAAGATAAGTAATATAAGGAAATCGGTAATAGAATAGCTATTTATGTAACTAGTACCTAAAATGATGTTTTTTAGGACGAATCATTACTGTTTGCGGACGAGGCGTTAGCCGAGTCCGAAATAGTAGATGAGTCCTAAAAAACATAATTTAGGTACGTGTTACATACACTATTTTTTGTCATACGCTTTTTACAGTTTTTTAGAACGCGGTTCAAAGTTGCGGGATTTACCGTGCGGGATCTGCGGGATTGACACCAGGGGATTCCCCTTACGGCTTGGCCATTAAAAATAAGTGAAACAAACAGGTTATTGTTAGATTTCTTTCTGGCGTATGTGCGTAAGTAAATAAAAGCGTTTAACTAGTACTTGTGGACAATTTCGTCAAATAAACTGCCGGACATAATTATCGGGAGAAGCAAAATTTTAGGGTAAATTTAAAGTTGAATATCTCTTGAACTAAAAAAGATTTTGGGATACGGTTTGGACCAGGTTTTAGATGCCTCTGTTGTGATTAAAGCGGCCCTCACACGATCAATAATATTGTCAATATTTTGGATTATGGACAATATTATTGAGCGTTTGAGCATACATATTGATGTACTTTCAATATATTGATGGATTTTCGGGATCTTGAAAATACTCGACAATATTAAAGGCGGAGCTAGTCGTATTGACAATATATTGATCGTTAGGTCGCATGATTGACAAAATTTGACTAGTTTATTTGTAACCATGGCGGAAGACGGAACATCGCCGTCGTTGTTTTCACCAGTTTTAGATCGCAATCATCAGGCTCCCGTTTCTTAACGTACTCTAGAAGATTTAGTTAGCCGAACCTTTTTCTTTTTGGATATCCATTTTTTATATAAAGTCTTTTTTTAAATTTTTTCCTCTATTTTTTCTCACTGACTGACACTCACTGCCAAAATGCCAAAATGACATGCTTTTTTTATCTTAAATTTTTTAGCATAGGGTATAATTCACACTTTAATATCTGCACAAAACTTAATATTGATATATGTATTGACCGTGTCAGGCCAACTTTCAAATATTGATAAAATATTGACAATAAAAAACATTGACAACATTATTGATCATGTAAGGGCCGCTTAAGATACTATGTGGTTTTCGAAAATATATTTATCGAATTCTCGTATACAGGGTGTTTTATAAGAGTGTGAAAATTTGGTGAAGAATCTTTTTTACCGCAAATTTACAATTTTTAAAAAATCCAATCCAAATTTTTACCAAGTACGACTAATCTGTATTGAAATTAGAAAAAAACAATTTGATCGGTTTTTTTAATTTTTTTATTTTAAGGAAAATACGACGTTTTTTCGAAAAATATGCATTTTTAGTCATACGATGGTCCTAAATTGTACAAAAAGCTTTGTACATTCTGCATACCTATGCCAAAGAGTAGATAAGACAAGAGACAACAGTTCGCGCGGTACCTTTCATGTTTGAGTGGTGGGGAGAGTGACCTCGTCTCGCTTGTCCCTTTAAATTTTCGTAATTTTTTCGCGGGAAATTTGAAATAGACTATTATTAAAACTTACCTGTGTAGCTTATAAATAGTTATACTGTATGGGTAAAGAAATAAATAGAAACGAAAAAAAAATGAGTTTTCTAAATATTCTATAAAATAAATTATAATTAGAAACATATTTGTCGGGGAATTTTGTATATGGTTGGTAAACAAGATAAAATGACCAAGTCGATTTGTAAGAAATGTTTTATTTAATTATTTACGTGCATTTTTTTACATATGGACTTGAACAAGTGTAATATCACAATGTGGAGTTTATGTACAAAAAAATAGAGCTGCTCAATTTTTTTTTGTAAAATTATATTACAAGCTTCTAACCATGTCTTCGATCTTTGGATTACATTTAGTTTAATAACATTTATATTTTTAGTTTATATAGTATATTTCTATAAAAATACTTTTCAGGATCCTTTGGAAAAGAGTAAAATATTATGTTTGTCGAAGAATAAGATCTATTTTTGCAGTCTTTATAAGCACACACATTGCCACCATCTCGTCTTTTCCTGCTACTCGTGTCCTGTTCAGTATTCATATTTAACAATAATTACAAATTAGTACGCAACAAAAACGATACTAAAATTAAAGCTTAAAAACTCTCAAAACGATAATATATCGAAAAACTCTGAAAACACACTTTAAAAAGGCAAAAATGCAAGAAAACAACTAATAAGATTTGTTTATGTTTAAGCCAAGTTTAAGCCTGATTAGTACAGCTGATTAGCGTCCTAAAATCATAGGTTAGAATAAATAAAATTCGCCGTTGTCAGATTTTCAGATTTTATCTGTTTTTTCTTTGAAATCGATCAACTTAGTCATTCTGTTTCTTTGATATGATCAGTACATTGCGAAAAAAGAACCTAAACCAACCTAAACTAAAAATTTACATTTCCGTATTAACATACGTTACTTATTCCTTCTTATATTATTAATTTATTTTCAGAAAATCTTGTTTACTTTTCAAAGAAATATACTTGGCAACAGACAATATGGGACTTGATGGGACCTTTAAATTTTAATATATCTGCGTCTCTCTCGCGAAATTCGACTTCTTTGTTCACTGTCGTCTCTTGTCTTATCTACTCTTTGCCTATGCCAAAAAATTATTGATATAGAGTGTATCTAAAAGCAGATAACTAACACAAGTTAAATTTTTTTTTGAAAACCCTGTATACATCGGTCCAAATTTCTGTATAGCTAGTTTAAGATACACGCTATATCAATATATTGTGGGTATATGCAAAATGGAATGGACCAAATAATGTATGACTATAAATGCATATTTTTCCTTAAAACAAAAAATTTAAAAAACCCCACTAAATTGTTTTTTTTTTCTAATATCAATACAGATTAGTCGTACATACTACATTTCGATTTTTCAAAAATTGTAAATTTTCGGTAAAAAAGATTCTTGACCAAATTTGTATACTATTATAAAACACCCTGTATACGAGAATTCGCTAAACATATTTTCGAAAACCACATAGCACCTTAATCACAATAGATGCGTCTAAAACCTGGTCCAAA